TCCCCAGCCAGCCATGCTGGCTGGGGAATTCTGGGAATTGAAGTCCACACATCTTAAAGTGGCCAAGGTTAAGAAACACTGGTTTAGCATGTGACTTCAAATTGGTAAACATTGGCTCCAAAGTGAGTGGTGTATGTCTTGCTAACCTTCAAGTAATCTTTTCTGCTTTATTTTTAAAGCAGCATTCCTCTGCATTTGATAAGGATGTTTGATCTGGTTTGTCCTTCAAAAGTCATTTGCCAAGTTTTGTTGTTCCTACTGGAGCACAATGGAATAGAAGGGTCTCCTCCTGAGGTTGTTTCTACCGTATTGGGAAGAAATGCCTCCAAATGGCTTTTTTTTTTAAATAATTTGATTCAACGTTTTTTAGAAAGAAGTGAAAAACGGATAAAATGAATAAAAAGTGGGAAAAAGAAAAGAAGAGGAAAGAAATCAAAGAGAAAGCTAGACGTGCAAGAGAGGAAAAAAAGGAAAAGAAAAATAGAAAAAGAAAGAAGATACAAAGAAGTCGCTCCCGATCTTCTTTACAGCAGTTACAAGTGCAATTATCAATTTACTGCTTACTCTGTAGTTACAGCATAACTCTCTTCTTTCTATAATCTATCCTGTCTAGTCACCAAAACCATAAATCATAAGTTCATTTTTGTCTGTTTCACGCAAAAAGTCTGTAAGGGGTTTCCAGTCAGCAATAAACGTAGATATTGTCTTTTCTCTGATCAAAGAAGTCAATTTAGCCATCTCAGCGAGTTCCAGCATCTTCACCAACCGTTCCTCCACGGTGGGTAATGCTGAATCTTTCCATCTTTGTGCATACAATAATCTCATCGCAGTTATCATGTACAAAAGCAAAGTTCCATGACTGTTTTCCAACTGTTTGCCCATCAGTCCCCGAAGAAAAACCCCTGGTCCCTCTAAATTGCTTTTTAACAGGAAGCCATTGGAATTTACACATGCTGCTGTTTCTAATACCTTTTCAGAGGCATCTTGAGACTCACAGCTCTTGGAGAAAAGACACACGTTTTTATATTTTTTAAATTTAATATGCCTGATTTCCACGGTGGATCTCTAAATGGTGCAGTTATGAAGATTTGCAGGTTGCCGGTGCGTTGGGGCACACAGCAGGCAAAGCTGCCTGACTTGAAAAGGATCTCTGGGACTTGGATAAATACAGATTGTCCAGCAAAGGTCACCCAAACATTTTGTTCCAACAAGTCAGTTCATGAAAAGTATAGAACACTAAATCTGGTTCATGAATCTCTCTCAGCCACCATTTTCTTAATCATGGCATGTTGCGTAAGCTAGAGATGCTGGGTTCATACATTGCACCGAACCACAGACAAGCAAACCAGTCCTTGCTGTGTGTGATGTGCCCCATGTTAAAGAGTCATCTAACCATCTTCTCCTTTGTTGAGCTTGGTGTATGGTTTGTCATCAATATCTGCAGAGGAGTACGTAATAGCCTTGAAGAAGATATGCGGTGGCTGTTAGGAAAACATCAGCTTAGCCCAGAAAGGCAGGAAGGGGTGAGAAAGAAACTCAAGGTTGCCCTCCCTTGATTCTCTTTAGTATAAGACGGGGAGAAGGAGACTCTCTTTCAGACATTCAAGATTCTGTTGTTGTACCCTGTAACAATACAGTTCCAGTAGTTCTTGTGGTGTCTATTTCCTGACCTGGCCTACTTCAAAGGGCTGAAAGTATCCTGTCCCAATTCTCTTCTGCGGCTGCCTCCTCCTCCTCCTCCCCCCCATCATTTTTGCTCTTCTTGATACCAACCCCAGTAGATTTAGTAGGACTCTGGGGAATCCTGCCCATATTCTCCTGGACACCCATCAGCTGGGAGCTGAGAGGCGTTGGTCCATTTCTATTGGCAGCAGAGAAGCATCCATTTGGAACAGAATTAAGGGAGGGTCACATGGTTCACACCTTTGCACTGAAAGGAAATATCTGTTCTTGTACTTAAGACCCTTTTTTTTATTGTAAGCTGTTATATTTGCTACTGAAAAAAGGAAGGTGTATCTCCATAACACTTTTTAAAAAATATTGCATTTCTCTGACATCGTTGGCATCAGGTGCGATTGCTCCATCTGAGCGCGGCCTGTGAAATTGAAGCATCCTGAAGTATGTTCAGCACTAGACTGATGGAAGCCAAGTGTGTGTAGATCAAGCATTGTAGAAATAACTTTTCCAGAGCTCTTCTTAGGGAGGATGAGCTGTTGCACCAGAATTCATGATTCCCTCCTGTCCATTCCTCCCGTGGGACTGGGGCAACTTCTGTGTGGGTCCTGCCTGCTTTTCACCTTGCCTGTTTTATTTGTCCACCATAGGCCAATGAGGTGACCGACAGTGCATATATGGGCTCAGAGAGCACCTACAGCGAGTGTGAGACCTTCACAGACGAGGACACCAGCACGCTGGTCCATCATGAGATGCACGATGAAGTTGAAACAGACAGCGCCGTCGATTCCACAGTGCATTCGGAATTCATGGAGCCGGAGGAAACGGAGAATGGGTAGGTGTGCTTTCTTTCTTTTGCCTCCCTCCCACCCAGCAGCTGGCCTTGGGGGGCCCTAATCCAAAGGCAGAGAAGGAAAGTTCATACCACTGATGGAGGGGAGGGGGCAAAGCTTTTCTTACACAGAAGCGTAGGAACCAAGTTCAGTCCACTGGCTAGGTTCATGCATCTTGTGAAGCCCTGGTTTATTTTTGAGCATCCCATGTTCAACAACCTACAGTGGCCTAGTTCAAAAGTTGCCTGAAGTTATAAGCCAGGATTTTCAATCCACAAAGGTTCGGTTCATAAAATGGGTTAAGTCAAAGCCAACAAGCCACACTAATGCTTAATGTAGCATAACACATGAACTCAGATGTTTTCTATCTAGAGTTTCAGACAGGAGTTTCACTTACTCAGTCCTAAGTGGAGATCAAACTGGGACCTTTTGTAGATCTGCTGTGAAACCACATCTCCTCTTGCTTGTTGGCTACATGCATATTCTGCCTTTCCTTCAGGAGCTCAGGGCATCTTCCCCTTTTGCCCCACAACAACAATCTGGTGAGGTGGGTTGGCCTGAGAGGGAGGGGCTGGTGGAAAGTCTCCCAAGGAGCTTCCATGGCTGAGGAGCAACTTCAACCTGAGTGTAATGAAAAGACCTTGGGAGACAGGGCCAACAGACGCTGCCAAGGGAACGGTCAGATAAGAGACAGCATAGCCCGCAGCTGGATAGTGGATGGGGCAAGAGGCTCAGAAGAGATCCTCCCTAGTTCCTCTGGCTGTAAAAGAGATGGAGGAAGGATTGTACTTTCGGACTTCCAAGATTCTGTCAATGTAGCTTTACAATAAAGTAGAATTAGCTCATCTGGTTGTGGTTCCTATCTGGTTCTTTCTCTATTTTAGTTTGTATTCCTTTTTACTCTTGTTTTTAAAACTTCCCATAACATTATATAAACTGAGAGGGGGGTGCGCGTGCAATCAAAATGCATCAGAACGGGGGGAGAGGCGCTGGAGGGGCATAACTCAAGGCAGCAAGATGCTTGTCTTCCTGGCGGTGAAGTAGAATTTGTTTCTGTTTATTTGCTCCCGTCCCTCCCTCCCAATGGGCTGCGTGGAGCCAGGAGGCTGTGGACTGCCAGAAACCACCACGGTGGGGAGATTTGTAGTCCTCAGGATGTTGAACTGTGTTGTTGGGAATGGTGGACCAATATCCCATGGGGGGCAGTCTCTGCACTAGGGGCTCAGGGCAGTGTAGTTTGCAGGAACCCCAGACCCCAAATAATACTTCTGATCTTTATGAATACTGTAGAAGCTACCTGGGAATTATCTATTAGTCTGGACAAGTTGCTAAAGACTGATTTGTATCCAATAGAAAAGACTATCTGTGCCCAGTTTGGACACGATACATCCCACCACCCCTTCCAAGCTCCGTAGACAACAGGCAGCGTTCTAGCATCATATGCCAAAATAGGAGGGAAAACAGTACTTATTCTCCACCCCCTTGATGGCAGTGACGAGGGTTGGCCACCACAGTTGGCTGCTTCCCCTGTAAGCTAACAGATCTATTGCTTAAGTCCTGATCAACTCAGGTTGAGTTCTTCTTGGGACAATACAGTTTATGCAGGACTGAAATCCAGCCGACTGGGTCTGTTGGATGGAACGGCTAAGTCTTAACGATCCTGACTTGCAGTTACCAAATGATGATGAGGCAGCCACGGGGATCTGCATAACTCCTCTGGGGAGAGGTTGTGGATGGACTCCAAAGGAGAACCAAGTGGTCCCTCTGATCACTTCCTTCATTGGCTCATTTCCCCTTTCCAGTGCTCTCTTCCTCCTCCCACTTTAATTCTTTAGGGGAGGTATCCCCACTACTCAGCTGGAAAGGCATTTGCACAAGAGAACAGGCAAGTAGCTTCCTATGTTATCTACATTTTTTTTTCTGAAGGGGCATTCCTGAAGTAGGTGGATCTCTGAACCTCTGAAAGAAGTTCTTTCATAACTGATCTTATTCTGACCCTGGCCAAAATCTTGCAGTCTATGTCCATGAGCTTCAGAAATGTCCTGTGCCCAGATCTCCTAGGTTTTATTTTCCATTTTGTTTCCTACAGTCTTTCTTTACTCGTCCACCTGGCCTTGACTGTTTCCTCATTCCTTAAACTTTTTTTGCTTATGATCAGAAGTTCTTTCATTTGCTGATGTCCAGGGAAAGTTTCCTGATAACTCCTGTTTTGGCAGTTCCATTAAATTTCCTTTGATGAGTCAGGAATTCTTGCTAAAGTGGGAACATACTTTCCCTCTCTCTGTCCAATCAAATTTAATCTGACTTTCCAGATCAACAAGTAACATTTCCTCAGTTACAATATAGTCACATTTCTGATTATTGCAGAGAAGCAGTTGTGCCAATACAGTGATGATGATGTTCATCAATGAAGAACACAGTACAAAAAACAAGCAAACATTTTTGATTGGTGTTCTTTGGAAATTTGATTTCCAGCTAGGAATCTACAAATTGGAGATATCTAAGTAACATTGTAAGTTATAACATGTGCCCAGTAAGGCGGTGTTTAGTTTTGGTAAATGCATGGTTGATACAGCTGGAAATATTTTAGTTCTTGTAAACATTTCTTTAATCTGCCTAATGCACCAATAACTATAGAAATGAGTTTGCAATATTATTTTCATTTTTATTTTCGTTTATCTCTATATTAATTTTTTCCAGTTCTTTTTCCCCTGATTCTGCTGCCCCAGGGAATTGCTACACCTACAGAAATGATTCTTTTCAATGCTTATGGTTGGTCACACAGTCAGCCAGATGTTTAGACTGGATCTGGCATTTTTATCCACTTATCATGTCCTTCTCAAGGACCTGGAACAGGCAGATGTTGGTGTTTGATGGCGTTAGAGGTATCGTCGCAGGATATAAGCTGTTCCAAGTCAAGCTGCCTTTTGCAATGGACTGATGGTGATTTTGTCAAGGCCGATGGTCTTCCAGGGGTGCTCCAGATGTTTTGGGATTGCACCCAAGGCGCCTATTGCTCTTTGTACTATTTATTTTTATTTATTTATATTTCGAATTTAGATACCGCCCATCTCACGAGGAAGTGACTATCTTTGCTTTTGCTTGCCATAGTCGTTCTATTATTATTGTTGTTGTTGTTGTTGTTGTTGTTGTTATTATTATTATTATTATTATTATTATTATTATTATTATATTGCATATATGCCAAATGTACAATAATATATACTGGAAATGTAATATACCATAAAGCAGATTGACACAAGGTTCTTTAAAAAAAAGAACAAACATTAATTCTCTTGTTCTTGTCCCAAACCAGAAATAGAAATATTACGTGATACGGGGTTCTCAGTTTACTCTCTGTATTATTTGGAGGAGTTCTGTCTGTTTCTTTTTATCTGTATCTTTGGGTGAGGATCGTATCACTGCTGGGCTGAGCTTTTAAGCAGCATTGTGAGAATAGGAAGTTCTCCCATTCCCCGTATTTCCAGAGAACAGCAAGGCCGTTTTGTCTGTTCGTGCCAAAATAATGCAGACATTAGCACCTTGGACTTACTGATAATGTAGTTTCCTGTTGTTGAATGGAGTAAAGCTTGGAGCCATACAGCCTCCTGCGTACTGTTTGAAGTGGAGGTTTTTAATTCTTAATTTGAAGTAGGAAATCTTTTGGAAAAGTTTTCTTCCAAATCTAGAGTTGATTCCACTATGCAAAATCTCTGCAGCTCCCCCAAAAAACCCTGCCTCCTTTAGCCCCACAGCGTCCCTACAAAGGGGTCAATCATATTTTTTTTTCAGATATTTATCTTGCTTTTATTATTTTTATAAATAATTCAAGGCGGTGAACATACCTACTACTCCTTCCTCCTCCTATTTTCCCCACAACAACCCCGTGAGGTGGGCTGGGCTGAGAGAGAGGGACTGCCCCAAAGTCACCCAACTGGCTTTCCTATCTAAGATAGGACTAGAACTCACCGTCTCCTGCTTTCTAGCCTGGTACTTTCACCGCTAGACCAAATTGGCTCTCCTGTTTTCCTGGCAAGAGTTGAGTTAGCTTGACTTGTCCAACGCTATCCTTTGACTTCCCAGATGGACTGAGATGGTGAAGAATTTGCTATTCTCCTCACTGAGCAGGATGGGCTAAACACACACACACACACACACACACACACACACACCATTTCACAAATGATGGGTTCTGGTCCCTTGCTTCATTGTACCCCATTTGTTTTGATCTAGGTCACGCGTGTTGTAGCGCTCTTTCTAAGTCCAAACTCAACCCAGGCTGCCCCAGTGTGTTACAATACCACCCCCCAAAAGTTCAAAATAACCAAAGGCCTGCATCTATTTATTTTTTTTTACAACAGCTGGAAACATAGGCAATGTGCAATAGTGAAATCAACAGGGTCTTCAGTATCAGAAGCATATTCATTCGGCAACGTTTTTCAAGGGAAAAGGGCAAATCTTATGAATAATTCTCCTCGCTACAAAAATAGAGACTTGATTGCAACACGCATCCAGAGGTGATATCTTGGAGAAATAGCTGTAGAGCGGTAATGATCGAAACATGGCGGCCAGAGATTTTCCCGTTAGCAAACCGCCAGTTTGTTAATCTAAGGTCAACAGCCTCCTTCATTTTGACCTTCTGTGTTAATTTCACTGTTAACATTTTTTTAATACATTCAGGCCTTTTAGAAAATATATTATTTGGATCTCTTTGGGGCAAATGTGCTTAAGCTGGATCCACTCAAAGATGGAGTCCATGTCTGAGTATTAATAGACAGCCACGTCCTAGCCCTGGTGTGCATCGTCTGATGTTCAGGCACAATCAAGCAACCATGTTCTCTGCTTCTGGAAAGGTAGCAGTTTATGCTGTCCTTGATTTAATGGGAAGAGGAGACAACAGTGACCAGAAATGATGCTGGCAAACTTTCTGTGAGAGATCAAGGCTTAGGAGAGACATTAGCCATGTTGAAGAACATAAACGGAAGCTACAGGGAAGATGGCCAAGATGGCTACAGAAACTAGGACCAGAAATAACAGATATAAGTTGCAACTACCTAGATTTTATTTAAATATAAAGAAAAATTCCTGATGGTAAGATCTGTCCCACTGTGGAACAGTTTATTTATGGAAGAGACGGGTTCTCCATCTCTGGAGGTTTTGAAGAAGAAGATGGACATCCAGGTCTTGTGGATGCTTTAACTGAGTTTTCTGCACATTGCAGAGGGTTGGATTAGATGGTCCATGTGGTGCTTTCCAACACATGATTCTATGATTCTCCAGAAAACTTACCCTGAACCTAAAAGACATCAGCTGGCTTCACACAGCATCCAAACTGTTTAGGTTTAGTGTACTATATGAATCAGCAATGGAAGTTTGCAAATAGTGACTTAGGGCTTGGTGTGATGTGTGAAACCAGCCAGTTGTGATTTAGTTAATAAACTGATGGTTTAAGTGTGATCTCTCAACCCTTAAGAGGAAAGTCTTTTTCTTCCCCTAGGTTCTCTGCAAAATTTGCTGTTTTGCACATCCAAAACACCAGAAAAGACTTGCTATTCCAGAAGATTTATAGAATCTTCCTGGATTCTATAGAAAATTGCTGGACCCCCTCCCAGTCTCAACCCAACCCAACTCTTAATGGCTAGATCACTACGGTCCAGAGAAAGAGGCAGACATTTTTGGAGATGGGGCATTTCGCATCTCTCTAGTTTTCTTCTATAGCCCAGAGTTGCCTCCTCTGACTGGCACCAGGAAGACAGGCTGATCCGTTATTTATTCTTAAGTCCTTTTAAATTAGGAAATACTGGGAATCAAACCTGAGGCTTTGTGCCACGTTCAGCAGTTATGTTGCCTGCAAAATACTACTGTAGTGATGAAAAGAACTGCTTAAAATACATTTCACTGTAAGATATAATAAAACATATATGAAAGCTATGGGAATTCAGTCCACATCATGTTGCAGTGTGAGATGACACACACATTCTGCAAAGCTTGTTGTATATCTCTGGAGCTTCCTCCATCTTTAGAAAGAAAATGCTGAGGGTGAGAGCCATGAACTTCTGAATCCAAAGAAAATGTGCTGCCTCTAAGCATTAGGTTGTGGCCACATTAGATGCACTGCATTGTCCGTACTTTTCTTTCAGCAAGATTTCATGTCTTTGTTGGTTGTTGCTCAGCTGTCTCCTGTATAGATGTTCATATCCAGCACTTTGCTTCTCACATGACACTCCCAGATTGCTGTGGAATGGTCTTCTCCAAAGTGTTCCCTCTAGATGAACTGGGACTGAATTTGGGGATTTGGAGACCTACACTCCCAGCCTGTCTGTAGGTTATTAGACTGAATGTTTTCAGTGTTGCCTCTGGTGGTGGAATTACAGGATCAGCCTGAATCCCTCCTGTCACATCACAACAATGTGAAGATTTACTAGGTACTGTCTTCTTGAGGCCGTCTCTTGACGCTTTGATTCTTCTTTTTCTTCAACAGATCTCACCCTCATGACTTGTCCTTGACCACCGATGTCAACAGCCACTCGATTGTCACTGTAATCAGTGGGGAGGAGCATTTTGAGGACTATGGAGAAGGGAATGAAGGGGACCTCTTCTCAGACAGCTTGTGCAATGGAGAAAGTGGCTTCAGTAGCTCGTCTTTCCTTTCTCCCAGGTAAAATGACACCTTCTTGTCTATAGATGGTATCACACAGGTTCCTTGGTCATATGGTCTTCTCTGTGCATCTGTGTGGGCATCTTCAAGCTGACTGTTAACTATTGTTAGCCAGAAGGAAGACAGGAGGCAGTGGGGTATATTAGATGGAGAGGCAGGAGGTAAGCCAGATATGAAATCAGATTCAGGTCACTTGCCAGATGTTTCTCATGTCTGTGCAAGAGACCCACAGAAATAGGACTGTAGTTTACTTCTAGCATATGTGAAGTTCTCGTAGTTTTTTGGATGAGATCCAGCAGAAACTAGAAGTACAGAAACCTGTCTTCAAGATTTCTTCTTGTTTTTTTTTCCTCTGAGGCAGCTCCTACTCGTTGAATCTGATGGAAGTTGGACACTAAAAGCAGAAAGTGTTTTTAGCCTAAAGATCTGATCTCTGTGGAGGCTCCTCTCTTTGCCATTGACCAGGCAGCGTGTGGTAGATGAGAATGAAGGGATCAAGTGGGTCTTTTCATTGATCCAGTTTTGAAGAGCAAAATATGATTCCAAATGCACATCGTGTGCATGTCACATCTGTCAGGAATGCCTTTGTCAAGTAGTTCCCTCAAACTGAAAATCATTATTTCCAAGCGAGATTCTCACCGAATCTTCTTGAGCAGGATTTATTGAGATGAAAGGGACGGGCTTACCAGAATTTCCACAATTGAACTATTTTGCCTTTAGAACCCATTTATCCCCTAATATAATAGGCTGGAGACTTTTTAATCTTCTTTCTAATAGCCTTCATGCAAACTGGTAAGGAGACAGGTCTTTTTCTGGTAACGGAAAAGCTCGCAACCTTTTCTGCGATCAGGGGAAAGAGCTGTCATTTTACACAACCGACTCCTGAATCTTCATCAGTCTGGGCATTAACCATTACAACCTTGCAGCCATTGCATTTTTTCTTGAACTTCTTCTGTGCCCACCCACCCCATACCCAGCTGGTGCACAATTGTGGAAAAAGACTTGTCCAGTTTTAGGTGTTCCCAACAGGAGCTACGTGCACTTTTAGTGTGCTTCAAACCACATTTTCCATCCATCAGATGTTTGGACCTCAGTTCCCATCTGCCCCATGTTGCATGGCCAGTGGTGAAAAAACTGCCCTGCTTCCAAGATCATTGTAATAGTGCCAAGTTTGTCCTAGTACCAGATTTGTCTGTTTCTACTTTTTATACGGTGTTCTGGCTGGGCGGCTGTCAGTTGCTGCAAAGAGACAGCATTTGACTTCTTGGCAGAAGATGATTAGGACATAAGCATGAGCCAGTGACTCTAGACATTGCTTCCAGACCCAATTGGGGTGCTTTTTGGTACACTTGCAGATCATAGGAAGCCCAAGGAAACCACCATAAGAGAATAATCAGGAGAGAAAAGGTGTCTGGGTCAGTGTTTCTCAACCTTGGCAATTTGAAGATGGGTGGACTTCAACTCCCAGAATTCCCCAGCCAGCCATGCTGGCTGGGGAATTCTGGGAGTTGAAGTCCACCCATCTTTAAGTTGCCAAGGTTGAGAAACACTGATCTAGATGCTGTGTGTTCCAAGACACCCATTCTTACATACCAAGTGTGCTCATGGCATTTTCCTTAGGCCAAGGGGGAGATGTGCAGTGTGTGAATTTATTGCCTGATTCTGTTCATAATCTGAAACAGCCATGGGGAAGGTGGGAGAAACTGGAATTGCCCTGCCTGGGAAAACTCTATCTTGATTTTTAATCTTTCTCACTCCTATGCTATAATCCGGCTGCAGTTAGACCCAAGAAAGAAACTTTGAATGGTCTCCCGGAATATATAGTGCCCATGGGGGAAAAAGTGTGCGTGTGTGTAGGGATGCAGCCTGAAAAGAAAGGTTTAGAAATCTCATGAACTTTCTCTTGGCCCTGATGTGGGTCAGTGGATACATGAAATACCTGATTGAGGTTGTAAACTATTTCAACACTACAAAGAGGAAGGAGCAGTTACAGTAAGAACTCTGACTTTGAAAAGTGGTCCTAGAGAAGCAACTGTGTGGTTAAACTGAGAAGACTTGGAAGAGCCGCCTTCCACCTTGGAGGTCTCTCCCCATCTTCATGTCATCAAGGTGTGTGAATGAAGCCATCTTGCACCTTCACAGAAAAAGGCTTACTCAGAAATCAGACCTTGACCACATGGTCCTTTCCTCAACGTAGTGCCCACCAGGAGGCCTGAGTCTGAACCTTCCCATGGCTGGGGAAAATCCAGGGGGAAGAAAGGAGTCTCCTTTTCTACATTTTGATGGCCAAGGGTTGGGAGATAGGATTGGAAAAGGAGTCATGTGGCTGTGAGTGAAATGTCAAACGTTTGGTCCAAGGGTGTGAATCTCCTCTGGTTTGTACTGATCTGTTTCTCTGTTCTGTTCAGTGGGTGATGCGTGCCCTCTCTGGTGCCTGGTTCCTTCACAAAACAGTATGGTCTAAGATCTCACAACTGATTTTTGTCTTCTGTCAGTTTGCCTGTTTAACTGTGTTGTTTGGATGGTTGCAATTTTCATGATTAACCTCTTTCCGACTAAGCCTGGTGGCTTTCAGAAGTTTATTTCACTGGAAGGGAAGCTCAGTCACAAGCCAGCCTCAAAGAAATATTAAATATTCTCTGTTTGTTTTTTTAATGCTGTCAGCACCAGCATTACTGACAAAAAGAGAAGACCCTGCAGCTCTCTTGGGATAGTCATGCTGAGCTTTGCTGTGGGCAGAATTCCAGAGCTGCCACCAGCTTCTGTCCATGCAGGCTGGACGGCAACTCCCCTGAAATGCAAAGCCGGGACTTTAAAAATTATATTTTAAAAAGCCGCGGAGACCTGCTTTGCACGTAATATTAAGCCGTGAAGGGAGGGTCCCCGCCTCAGCCTCTGCCATAGCATAATGTTTGAATTAGGCTTATTTAGAAATGGGGAATTTTAAAAATACGCCGTGGAAGAAAGCAGGAGCCATGCTGTTGGGAAATCTGAACCCTTGTTTGACCTGAGAAGGGGCTCTGTGAGGGATCCCTCTAGCTTTTGGAGATGAGATCCTTTCTCCGTGAGGAAGTTCACATTCAGGGGAGCCACACCCAGACATTTCCTGTTCTTAAATCTAGATTTGGAATCCTTCTCTACCTAAAAGTGCCATTCCTGGCTGAAGATCCTGCCTCTTCAGGGCTTTAGCTGGCCAAAATGGGATTGGCAATCTCTCAAGGCCCCTTAAACTGCCCTTGTTCCCTTTATTGTGTATTGACTGATCCGGCTCCCTGAGGACCAGCAGGAGGTGGGGGAAGGAATCTAGGCAAGGCCAGCTGTGAGTCGCGACAAGTCAGTTCCAAAGACTTGCCAGAAGGAGTTTGGTAGCACTTTCTCTGACTAACAAATATCAATAAAAGATGTAGGCTTTTGTAAGCCTCAGATCCCTTCATCAGGGTGTTTGCAATCACTTCCTAGATGCACAGATGAATCTACCTAAAATCATAGATGCATCACTTCCTAGATGCATAGATGGCTCTGTGCATCGGAAGAAGGGAGCTGCAACTCACAAAAGCTTCTGCCTTTTAATAAAGTGTTTTAGTCCGAAAAGATGCTACCAGACTCCTCCTGACTTTTTACCACCATAGACTAACATGGCTTTCTACAAAGACTAACCAGAACTTTGTCCACCTGTTTTCCAGTTTCCCACTCACTTTCAGTCACAGCATGTTCTCTGACATCTGAAAGATCAGATCCTTGCTCTTTAAATTATTGCCTGGGCTTCAGTTGCCTTGTGAAGCCCTCCATCCACCCAGCAACCAGCATAGAGACCACCCAAATGAATGGTCAAGAGCATCCTTGGTCCTGATGGTCCTCAGTCCTTGACCTAGGCAGTGAATGGCTTCATCAACGTCTGTAGGTTGGACTGATGCTCCCTGTATCGGAATGGTCCAGTTCAGCTTCCCAAACCAGGGTGGACCTGACGGATGGCGCCTATAGCTTCCAGAAATCCCAAGCAATGTGGCTGTGCTGGTTAGGAATTTTGGGAATTCCAGACCGAACACATCAGATCAGTAGCTTTTGGAAAGCTGATTTAGTCCAAGCTACTGAGAACACCGAGACCTTTCAACCAGTTAAAAAAAACCAAACTTCTGTAAGTTGCAGGTGGAATCCAAGCTTGCTCTTGTACATTCTGTTTGTCTTTTTGGGTGTGTGTAAACGACACTTGTGATTTCTCTAGCACCAACCCGCTTGCCACGAAACTGCACAGCATTATCACTGACGAGGTGTTTGAGTTTTACTGTACCCAGTGCCGTAAGCAAATCAACCGCCTCGAAGATCTTTCCGCCCGCCTCAGTGATCTTGAAATGAATAGGTAACTGGTTTGAGGCATGGCATTTTCTCTGTTAAGAGCATGAGCTGTGTGTTCTTTACCAAGCATATGTCGTTGCTTTTTTTTTTTTTTTT